TCGGTTTGTTAATTGAAATAAAGTCATATCTTTTTCTTTATGGTCATATAGATTACGTAATTCCTTACTTTCGGCTTTTGTTTTTCCAACTTGCTTTTGACTAAGTGAAGATTCTCTTATCGCTCTTATCACAGGGACTCAGGGAGATTGAAGGTGGTGGATGACACTCAGTGCCACCAAGGACATGTCAGATTTTAAGCAATTGCTTTTGTTCTCTCTTCAAAAAGAGATTGGTCTCTTTGTCTCTCCTTTTTCTCGAATCTCACCGACCTTAAGCTTAAATTTCTCCTCTAAATAGTTCCTCTCAATCAGCCTCACCCATATTCCAATGTTCACCATCTTTTAGGCAAGATAGATAAACTTTGGTTCCCTGATTGGCTTTTGATAACTATAGATATACAGTATATGAACACACAAAGGAAATTAGGAATTTGTTGAATTTATTTATATCTTTTCTTGATTCTCCCAAGATTCAGTTTAATCATTCCTATTATGACCATGTTGTTTTGTAAATTTGAATGTGACGACCAATAAGATCATCAAAGACCTTTTAGACATGTTCTTTGCCTATGCAAATGACTATTGGATTTTAGATAAAAAAAAATATAAGAGCAGACCTACGATTAGCTAATCTTCTACAAGAGAGAAAGTTTGAATTTTGTCTTTTTGTTGCCAAGGATCTCACAACATAAAGAAGCATTTATTTGAAGGAACCATAGGCATTCAAAAGGACTTCTTCAAGCTCCTCTTTATAAAGATTTTTGCTTGGCTTCTTATTGTGAAACATTAATTGATCATATCAAGAAAGATCTTGGAAATCATAATGTGAAGATTGCTCCAGCGAAAAGAAATTAGCATGGAACGAGACTATTAAACAGAGCATTAAGGAATTCAAATACACAAGATAAAACATTTTTATCCATCACCAAGTGGTTCACTTATTTTGTTTACTTAGTGGAGGTCACACAGATTGATGCCCGCACTATTGTAACGCAGAGTAAGTAAAAGAAGAGATTTTTCATCCATGTCACTGCTCTTCTTGGTTGAGATTCTAGCTATGTCATGTGTTCCCTTTTCTGCAGTCCTCCGAGACTTACCTCTCAAATTAACACTCTTCGCTCGACTTTGTCCTCTGCAGGTAGGAGTGG